GTTGAATATATCGAATAAAACGGGTCAAAATCGAATAGTTGAATATATCGAATAAAACGGGTCAAAATCGAATAGTTGAATATATCGAATAAAACGGGTCAAAATCGAATAGATGAATATATCGAATAAAACGGGTCAAAATCGAATAGATGAATATATCGAATAAAACGGGTCAAAATCGAATGTTATATACCTTATGTTGATGTTATCAAAAGCTTTCAATAAAAAATATTTATTGAATATTTTGGTTACCTGTGGTTTTGGCGATTTATTGCTGATTTCTGGCTCGCATGCTCGTGCACCATTTTGATTTTGTTTTTCTAGGGTGACAATGGTTGAGGTGAAAGTTATTAAGAGTTCCTTATTGCCAACGACTTCTCGTTTTGGTTGCCAAGGTCTGTTGCTAAGTGCAATAAACCAGTGATTGGGGCACAGGGAGACCATGCAGACAAAAATGACAGATAAAATTTAATTAGAAAAATGATCTTTCATTTCATGAGTGTATATTGAGGCAGAGATAGACAGTGTGCTCTAAGGACATTAGATGATCAAGCAAATTTATATAAAATTTATTTTATGGAACAATTGTACAGAAGAGCACTTGTCCATCTTGACACCTCTTGAAGCCAATCTTTTCAAACAAATTTTGTGAGATTGAATTTCCTTCTTCGATGTAGACGATAGGAGTCATCTCTTCTTTCTCAGCTTGCCTGACAAGCTCTGCTATGATAGCCTTGGCCAAACCTTTCCCGCGATGTGATTCATTAGTTTGTAGTGATGAAATACAACCTGCTTCACTAATGAGTCCCCAAGCAACTAGTTCATCAGTTTGTGAGCAGAATACACCAGCAGAAAAAGAATGCTGAATCCATGATTTGATTCTTTGGAGCATATGAGGACTTTTACCAAATTTCCAGTTTGCATTAATAAAGTCAGCATGGTGGTACTCTAAACGACTGATTCTATAGCCACTGGGAATCTCACTGCACATTTGAAATAAGTTGGASAGGCATTAGGTTAGTGGGTGATCTACATTGAGTCCCATAAATTATTAACTAGTCTTTGATACCTTGATAAGGCTTTGGCTTTGTCACATATTGAATACATGAATGGACAAGCCATCACCTGTACTTGGAAGCCCTGTTTACTTGAAACATCTTCAAGAATTTTTAAGATTCTATATTCGGTATCTATATTTCAAAACAATATGATGAAATTAAAGTTAAAAAATCATTAAAAAATCTTTCTACTCATTTCAACCTAGCTCTAGATATGAAGGATGATTTAGAACACCACCATATGGCCCCTGTGTGTGTCTGGGTGGATAAGCAGTGTGGGTGGATGAGTGGTGTTGGTGGTGGTGGCCATGGAGGGGTGGGGAGGGAGGGGGGTGGGTGGGGCACAGGTATTGAAAATGTGATTCTTGAAACTTATTACACATTAATCTTGAAAAGTAAGTATGAATGGAGATTACAAAAAAAGTGGAAGGAATAGGATACACCATCAGTGATAATTAAGTTTTTTTCACTACCATTCCTTTCCAAAAATTAAGGAGATTGAATATGTCAAATAAGCTGAGTAGCTGATAATAATAATATTATTATTCTGACCTTGAAATTCAGAGTATCCTTCTTCATAACATATTCTTAGCAGTGGAATAGAATCAAATTTGTCTTTGATTTGTTTTGTTGTTGAATTTCTTGCATAAACCAGAAGTGGTGCCAATTTGATTTTATCCTAGAGGAATCAGAAGAAACTTTTTATGGCCCTGGGCATAATCCTGAGGGGTTAATCTCCTGAGGAAAGGGTGAGGGTAAATATAAGGCAGGATAGGGTATTTATTGAAGTGGGGTGGGTATGTATCCTTTTGCAGTTCCAGCCAGGAGTGTAGGGATGTCATAGGGGTAGGGCAATGTACCATTTTCCTGTCAATACACACACGTTAACAGGCCTAGGTTTAGTAAACTTATTTGGGGGGGGGGGGGGGGGGGAAACGCCCCGGATGGATGGGGGGATGGGGGGGGGGGGGGGGGGGGGGGGGGGGGGGGGAATCATCCCTCCTAGCAATGGCTTTGGTCCCAGCAATATCACCTAAAGATTTCAACAGCCCAACCCCTTTCACCTGGTGATATTGTAATAACACAGGGAGCCCAACAGGGTAAAACATGTCACAATGCTTACATTCCTTTTGTAAGTTAAGTTTTCTAGGATAACCAGTTGTGGCTGAGGCCATGAATCAACGTAGATGTTGAGACTGATCATCTGTTCTGCACTTCTTTGACTTTGTTTTATCTTACCAATAACCTATCAAAAATAGATACACAGAGTAAATTTCCTACCTTATTCAAGATATATTTCATTTCTTTCAATTTGAAAATATGTCATTCCCATTGAGTATTATGTCTTCATTATAATTTAGTAATTTTATAAATTACTGTTATAACAACACTTGCATTGTTGGAGGTGGAATATCCCATCCTGCATCAAACTTTGAGGCCGAACACAGCGAGAATCAAGCGTGATTTTAGCCATATTTTGCATAAATAGCCATAATTAGAGCGAGACACAGCCAAATAGAGAAAATGTTTGGTTCACTTTGATTAGCCAAACATTTGTCTGGCTTGTTCATGGGTCCAAATCAAGCTTCAATTTTGTGTGAATTATTTAGCGTCAAAGGTCACAACGGATTATACTACATAGTAGTGTAATGATGTCCTAGGGGTAGAGAGCATCTGTGGAGCAGCTAAACATTATTCCAWTATTCAAGAACATTATTCAACATCTTCCTCACAAATTAGGCCAAAATTTCCAAGGTCTGCCTAAGCTGCATGGTGGCGTGTCTGAGGAGAATGCAATATGTTGTCCCAATCCTCTATGGAGGAGGATTTTCAAAGGGTGGGGTAAGAATGAAAACAGTCATGAAAGGAGGCTTAACCTGGAAAACTGAGTTCTTTCACATGTAAACCAGATTTAGTTGTTCCTGCCCTCTGTCATTGCTGCCATCACGTGATGGTGTAAAGCCCTATTGTCTGGTGGTAATGGATGTGCATATACTTACAGGGGAAGATCTGGGCCAGTCTTCCATCAAAATTTCTGTCAGTTCTTTTAATGAATTGTTTTCAAGCTTCTTTAATCCAGGTTCGCTGTCCATTTTTAACTAATAGTTAAATGTYTTTACACAGAGAGACAAGCAAAACAATTGTGTCCAGGAACAACGCGTTCTGCTCATACACAGGGATCCCGTGAGACAAACAACTAAAAAAATCAAAATGGTGGACAGACTTTTTTAAGCCGCAAAGTTCTATAATTTTACCAGCAAACYTAATGCATTTTAGACTTGAAAATAGGGCTTATTGAACAGCTTTATTCACTTTAAACAATAATTTCCACTGTGCGCCGGGTTAAAATTTATAATTCAAGATTTTCAAAAATGTCGCGTCCTCCTCATCAGTTGTGGAGAAATGCAGCTACATTAATGTTGATAGCAAGAAGTTCTGTGCCAAGAACTCCATTTAACTACAGAATACTACTGTTAAAGAGAAGTTCAAAAAGCAGATTTATGGTAAATTATAGAGCTAGACAAGTCACAGAAATTTCGCCATTATCACTGCCAACTACTACAGTATCATCATCATTTTATTACTGTTATAGCTCTTTTTTAAAATCCTCCCTTCAAATCCATCTACGAGCTCTTTGCTCTGATCAGCTAATCATATCAGCTCAGTGGTTGTTCCAAGATTTGATAAATTTGTCATTTCTTTTTTCTCATTTCAGCCAAATCGGTATGTATTCCCAGGAGGGGTCATTGATGAAGCGGATTTTTCAGAAGAATGGCTTGATCTATACACAGAGTCTTCTAATGGCTCAGATTTCTCAAGTTTAGTCAATATGAAGAATCCAAGGCCGCCTATCTTTAAGATATCCAACACGACCATCCCAAGTGAAGTGGCACTAAGAATTTGTTCTATAAGAGAGACATTTGAAGAATCAGGAATTTTGCTATTAAAGAAAATGTCAAAAGATGACAATGTGAYCACACAGGGGTGCTGTGAGGTATATGACCACCATTCAAAGGGAGAAATACAAAAATGGAGAGAAAATGTGCATAATGATCCTACTAAATTTATTGCTTTATGTAGGTATGTATACCACCGGTTTATACCAGCTGCTCTTTACTTATGTCCAGATGATCATTTTTTTATCAGGATAAATAAATATGTTAATAATAATAATATTATTATTATTATTCATATTATAAGATCATAACCTAAGATATCCATACCTCAACCCTAATGGAAGATGCATGTTCCACCCTAAATGAGGGTTTTGTAAAGTGGATACCCGCCCCCAACCCCTTAGAAATTCCAATCCCCCTACATGGGGGAGGTATGGATATTTTCTGGTACTACACAGTATACCCTCCTCATACCCTCCCCACCCCTTAGAAATTCCAATCCCCATACATGGGGGAGGTATGTATATTTTCTGGAACTACATGATATACCTTCCTAAGACCCTCCCCACCCCTTAGAAATTCCGATGCCCCTCCTTTGGGGAGGTTTAGAYATTTTCTGTAACTGCACGATATACACTCCTCAGACCCTCCCTACCCCATGGAAATTCCAATCCCCCTTCATGGGGARGGTACGGATATTTTCTGGCACTGCACAGTACTCAGACCCTGCCTTGAAAATTTTATCTCAGTGAAGGATGTGACTAAACATTAACTCTAGTCTTTACTGATCCTTTTAACAGGAATTTGAAGAGTGTTCCAGATATCTGGTCATTGGGGGAGTGGTCAAACTGGCTGACACCTCCAGATATTAAAATAAGATTTGACACAGTGTTTTTTATATGTTTTGTTGATTATGMGCCTGTTTCTCAACACGATAACAAGGAAATGATACATTCTCAGGTAAATTATCCCCAACCCTACCCCAGAGGGGAATTATGTTGTATACACAGGGAACCCAATAAAGGTTTTAATATCAAAATAGTCTCCGTCACAGTTCCCTGCGCCATCTTGAAAGGTAGCCGTGCCTTTGCATTGAAGCAAGATATGAACGACGACCTTGCAATGGTAGAGACGTGAATAATTACAAGTCCAAGGTGTTAAAAAAGGTCTCTATCATTGCAAGCTCACTGTTCGTCTTGCTTCGATGCAAAGGCACGGCTACTTTTCAAGATGGCACAGGGAACTGTGAAGAGGACTATTGGTTTGGAGGTTGTTTGGGTGGTGGCTTGTTCTTGTGCTCTATAACGTGTCTTTTGATTATGGGTGCTTCATGATCACTGACATTGACAAAGACTGCCAAAAATTCTAACCTCTAAAACCATATAAACTTAAACTTATATATTACAACTACCACTCATCATACAGGGCTCTTCCATGAGGTTCCCTCCACAYGCACCCCCATTACATTCTATATCTACAACATACAACACTCAACTCRTATGTTTATCTTTACGGAGGGAGGAAAACCAGAGAACATGGAGAAAAACCCTCATGGTGAGGGAGAGAACATGAACTACTCGGCATTGAGGGGCAGCGACATAGCTGCGCAAGCCACCCATGCCACCTTGACTCAGATTGACCAACGTTCTGTTGAAATCTGTTAATTGGCATTATTTTTTATTCTATTACAGTGGAAAATGCCGATTGAAGGGATCGTAGAATATTACTCAAAGAAAAGTAATATCGGTGCACCGCAGATGTACACCTTGCTACAGCTTTGCAGGTAAGTAATCTTAAAAATGAGCAATAGACCAGTTTYGTATTTGACAAATACAACTGTTTTTGAAGACCACAGACTCATTTGCACAGGGTTAGCCTCGTTTACAAGTTAGCTATTCACAGATACCATTAAAAGTTCGTGGGATTCCAAAACATTGGTGTTGTTCAAGCTGCACATTCTTTACATTACAGATGAGTTTTGCAAAATATTTACTCGTAAACGAGGCGAAGCCTGTGCAGATGAGTCTTTAGTCATAAAACACAGCGGTATTCACTCAATAGGAAAAAGGGACTCTTGCAGAATTGACTGAAAAATGAAAAGAAATCACTACGTTACCACTGCTAACCTCACACACTAAATCTGCGCAAAATAAGGATAATTAAAAATAAATGATCGAATGAATGAATGAATGGATGAATGAACAAGCAAGCAWGTGGTCAAAACCAATCTAACATCAAACGAGCGACCAGCGGAGAATTAAAAATGGATAAAGTTTTTTTCCCATCGTTAGAACAACCAAGTGGGAAGAACTAAAAGCCTTTCAAGAAGCGCGTGCAAATGAAGGCTTTAACAGATGGATGTCAATTCGCCTCAATTGTGCCAATGGAGCAATCGTAAGAACTTTTAAAATACCCTTTATGTTGTCATATATTCTAGTGTACCAGTTGTGCAGTCAAACAAGTCCCTGAACCTATGACTCAACTTTGGGGTACTCGGTGAGTACTCTGGGGTACTCTAGGGGTGCTTGGTGGGTACATCTGGGGGTAATCTGGGGTACTCTAGGGGTGCCCTGGGGTACTCAGTGGGTACATCTGGGGGTAATCTGGGGTACTCTTGGGGTACTCTAGGAGTGCTCTGGGGTACTCTAGGGGTGCCCTGGGGTACTCTGGGGTACTTGGTGGGTACTCTCAGGTTTTCCTCCACCTGCAACATATGAATCTCTCCCTTGATTAAAGAGGTTCTCTTCAGTTCTCATCCCTCCGCTAAACCTACAACGATACATTCCAATTTGGTCTGTGTGTTTTCCGTGCCCGGACTTACATCAGAGGTTGTTTCARGGTTCAATCTGTGAGTTAGCCATGCCCTGACTTAGATCAGCCCRGAGGTTGTTTGAGGGTTCAATCTGTGAGTTAGCCATGCCCTGACTTAGATCAGCCCAGAGGYTGTTTSAGGGTTCAATCTGTGTGTTAGCCGTGCCCTGACTTAGATCAGCCCAGAGGTTGTTTCAGGGTTCAATCTGTGAGTTAGCCATGCCCTAACTTAGATTAGCTCAGAGGTTGTTTCAGGGTTCAATCTGTGAGTTAGCCATGCCCTGACTTAGATCAGTACAGAGGTTGTTTGAGGGTTTGATCTGTGAGTTAGCCGTGCCCTGACTTAGATCAGTCCAGAGGTTGTTTCAGGGTGCTATCTATGAGTTAGCCGTGTACCGAGTAGATCAGATCAACCCAGGGGTTGTTTTAGGAATAAACTATGCACACCGTCGCATCAGAGCTGTCTCWTCTGCAGAGGTATTATTAACACCTGTGTTCTATTCCCTAGGGTTTACTCCCTGGAGATGATTTATACCCTATGGCACTGGATTACGTTGCCAAACAAACAAATGGCGACTATGGGGTCAGAGATGGGCCTGTCCCAATACAACAGCTCGACGAAACGATGGAAGAGCTACAAGCCCGAACCAAAAATCACAACCGATTTTGTGTRAGCAAATCGAAAGTGCCGCGCTTTAAGATCCTGGTCAACTGTTCTTTGGAAAAGAGGGCGCTGCCTCCGGTTTGTGATGCTGGAGAAATTCAAAAACTTGCACGTCAGTTGGAAGCCAGGTTATAGAATAAATAGAGGCAACAAAAATCGTCCGATCCCCCCTATAGGCGATAATTAAATGACTTGTCCCTTAGGGCAGGGCCGTAACCAGGGGGGAGCACAGGGTGCACGTGCACCCCCCCCCC